CCTCCCCCTGCCCCGCTTTGGTTTACCATTTTTCACCAGACCCTTTATCTAACCAGTCTGCTGTGTTTGTCTTCACTGTTTATCGTAAAAGTTTTTCAGTACTCTCTGCAGGGCCTATTGTTCAGACATATCAAGAATAATGGATATTTTTTTTTTTAATAGCAAGCTTCTTGTGAATGTATTATAGCTGTTTAGAGCGTTTTGTGAACAAAGAAAAGAGCTCTCGTGTACACGTTTTGCGGAGTTCTTTTTTGTGTTGTATTTTCGTGTCTATGGATTATGTGGCTTTTTCGGGACCACTGTGTCTGTGTTGTATCTGTGTGTTCTTGACCAATGTGTCTGTGTTGTATCTGTGTGTTCTTGACCAATGTGTCTGTGTTGTATCTGTGTGTTCATGTCCACTGTGTCTGTGTTGTATCTGTGTGTTCATGACCAATGTGTCTGTGTTTTACGAGGGGCATACCAAAAGATTTTTACCTGACCATGAAGGAATACAGGTAGAAAGCTGAAATTTGGCACTAAGCTTAGTCTTTTCTATGTAGTCGCCTCCCACAGTTACATATTTTTGCCATCAGTGTGTGACCTTGAAAAGACCCTGAGAATAGAGGACCCTCTCTATGTTAGGAAACCAGCCCTCTTTGACCTCATCATCACTTTCAAAAGGCCTTCCTTTTAAATCCTTTTTTTTAGTTTGGGGAATAAAAAAAGATCAGACAGGACTAAATCTGTAGAATAGGATGGATGTGCAAAATTTCATAGCCATTTTCTCGTGCAATTTCTCCAGCATTTCTTGAGGTGTGTGCTGGCGCGTTGTCGCGAAGCAACAAAATGACTTTTTGGATCTTTCTTCTGCGCTTTTCTTTTAAAGCCTCTAGAAATTCTTTTTAGCTGATTAGAATAATGGTCTCCGGTGATCGTATGTCCATTTTCAAAATAGTCTGTCATAATCACTCCTTCTTGGTCCCCCAAAATCCCCCCCAAAAAGATTGCATCACTTTTCCTCTTGATGGCTGCACCTTTGCCTTCTTTGGTGTTGGAGACGAGGGTGATTTGTACTGCGTTGATGCATATTTTTACTCAGGATCATAGTGGTGGACTCATGTCTCATCCGTGGTTACAACTCTAACAAGTCTCTCAAAACATAGTTTCATCCTTTTCATACGGACTAAACAATTCTTGACAACAATCCACACGTTGCACTTTTTGAGGAGGAGTCTACAAACGTGGGACCCGTCTAGCAGAAACCATCGCAATGCTAAGCCTAGTTTCTTTGTTCAAACGTTCGACTGTCACCCGCCTATCAGACAACACAAGTTCCTTAATTTTCAACACATTCTCTTCTGTTGTTGCAGTCACGGGGTGACCATCACGGCAGTCATCTTCAATGTCCACGAATCCACATTTGAATTTTTTTTACACCAACATTTCATCACAGCACGGGATGGGCAATTAGTTCCTTATGGGGCATTCATCTTCGTAATAATATCCTGTTGTTGCTTGCCTTGCAAGAACAAGCAATCCATTACTGCCCTGCGCTCAATTTTTTCCATTTTTATGTTGAAACTGGAGAACATACCTCCATTCACTTACAGTGTGCTGGTGTTAAAACCAGTCATCGGAAATTCATCAAAATTTACGTGCCTACTAGGAAGATAATTGTTGGTTTTCACTTTCACCCCAAATTTCAGCTTTCTACCTTTCTTCTTTCATGGTCAGGTAAAAAACTTTTGGTATGCCCCTCGTATCTGTGTGTTGTATCTGTGTGTTGTATCTGTGTGTTCATGAGTTGTCCACCTTCTTGTGAAGCAGTAAAATAAGTAGTTGTTGTTGTTGTTGTTGTTATTGACAGGCATGGTTGAAGCAGCTTGCCACTGAAGTGATCTAAATTGTCTCAATGGGGTGTAAAAAATATTTCAAATCTCTGTGGGGAAGATTTGTCTGTGAAGGTGTGGTGTAAAATTTTTTCATACCAAGTTTGCTAGCATGTTGTTTTTTCAATAAAGTATGGAAGAAAAGGAATAAAAATCGTTAAAGTTTATTCCTAAATGGGCCTGTTTCAGAAAAAGCCCGGAAGGCTTCGAGTGTTGCAGGTGACAGAGGTGCTGAATGTTTCTCTGTTTCATTTTTCCTGTCATGATGTTGCCAAACTTGTGGGGTTTTTGCTTCCCGCTTTGGTTTGTGTTAGATCAAACTTCATTTGTGGGTGGTTGGTGAGTGCTCTGGTGTGGTTTGCTTCTTCTTACATTTCTAACATCTATCATCCTTATCTCCCCTTCTTCTATTTTATGTTTGTTACTCTCTTGTAACACCTCTAATCTTCCGGCGCTGATATGACCTTATGCAGTTGCGATACGTTTTTTAGGGGGGGCATTGTTTTTGTTGGTTTTTTTGCAAACGTTTGTGACTTCTTGAGATATTGCGTCGTACTAAAGCAAACCAGTGACTGGCACTCTGTGCAAACATCAAGAATTAAATAGATCAAGAAAAAAAACTTCCGGAGGAGGTTCAAGGATAAGCAATGCTGTAGGCATTTGCTTTTTGATTTTGTCTTATTATGACTCGGCAAGTTTCAGCAGTTTTTGTCGAATTATTTCACATTTTTCTTCCTGCTCCTCTAGATTTTTTATGGTTCACATTTTTTTGTTGATTGAATGTGATGTTTCAGACTTTTCACTTCCATTTTGATTTTAGATTTTTGTTTCTGTTTTCAAATTTGACAGATGTTTGTTTATATATATATAGATATGCAACTTGAATACTCATGCTGAGTTTATTTATGAACAAGACTCATTGAAAGATATAAACAGAGTCATTGGCGAGAAAATCAGTTTGATGAGCATAGTTTCATTGACACGTTAGTGATAGTTATACTCTTGCTAAGTTGCTAAAATCCGTTAAGTACCTTAATTAATCTCCTTAATCTTAAATTCATCTTTTTTATCAGCACATTGAATTGGTTTGTGAAAATGTTAGTCATGGAATGATTTAATTGTTTTCATGTACCTTCTACAAAATATTTTCATCTTAGCTGTTGAAAAAAGGCGTCATAGTTCTTGACAAGCAAAGCTCCTGAAGTTCTTGCGTGTTTGTGTCAAGAGTGAGCTTAAGTAAGCAGTACATACTGCATTTGATTATTGATATCTATATGATACACTCCCTCCCTCGTCAATGTTGAAAAAATTAATTGGAGATAGAACTTGTTCTTGGAGGGGGGGGGGTTTAAAGTTATGTACGATCTGACCTTCTCCCTCCCTAGAAAATTGACAGCAATGATTTGGAGATATGACTCATTCAGGGTAAAAAAAACTGACTGTCGTGTATATGATAGAATGATAAGGTAGATCATTTTGTAACGTCCACTCTTGTTTGAACACAGCTCTGGGGTCAAATGACATATATGGGATATTCCTTCTTCACAAAAGTGATATAGAGATGAGCAGGAGAAAGGCCTAATTCTTGGTAACGGATGAAATGTCATGTTTAAATGATGTACTCCTTCTTCACAAAGGTCATGGAGATAATGGATTGGAGATGGGAGGTGGGTGGTTGGCGGGTACTATGGTGTGGTTTGCTCCTTCTTTCCTATTGAACCTCTATCGTCCTTATCTCTCCTCCTTCTTTTTTGTGTTTGTTACTCTCTTGTAACACACCTATTCGTCGGCACTTATATGACCTTATTGTGTTGCAAGTTCTATAAAACTCTTCGTAAAACCAAAAAGCAGATAGGAGTTGTTCTGATTTTTTAAAAACCCTGTGGTCAACATCCCTCGTTCTGGGTAACAGATGAAGTGGTTGTGTGTATGATAGGCTATACTCCTTCTACACCAAGGTGATGGAGATGATGGTGGATTGGAGATGAGAGTTGTTCAGAGTAAGAAAACCTCGTTAGACGCCGTGATCGACCTCCCCATCCCCGAAGCTTTCCAGGTGGTCGCAGGTAACGAGGAAGTGGAAAGTTCTAGATTCTCTTGGAGATTGGTCTTCAAACAATTCCCTTTCCTGGTGTTTTTACAAATTGGTTCTGGTTGTTTTTTGTTTTTGTTAATAATGCAGATGGGATCGCCCGACTCGGTCACCTCAAAAAGTTTTCAGTTTCAGGCGACTGAGTCGGGCAATCGGCCCGATCCAGCTGTAATGGGCACCCTGTGTAACAAAGTAATAAATATTTCTCCACCAACAGACAGCCACAGACTGGATGATAAACCTTGCGCAGAATTCCTCTATGTTCACCGTCTTTCCTTTGAGTCCATTGGTGTCATTAAAAGTTCCTTTTGTTTGGTCCTTTGATGATTTTAACAAAGATTTCTTGCATTTGTTTCCATCACTTGTTTGGTTTGGCATCTATTTACTTTGGAAGATTTCCTGTCTGAAAACGGTCCCCGTTGCTAACTGTAGAAGAGCCAAACAGCACGGTTGCACCAAATGTTTCACAAATTGCCGTTTTTGTTTTCTGGCACTTTTTTGTTGATCGGGTCATTAAGTTTTTAAATCGCTGGTATTCCTTGTTTTTATAGCTGTGGTATATTTTCTCCTTTATTTTTACTAACATAGATTTTTCTCAGCATTTCCAAAGGATCATTTTCCAGTTTTTGATCTTTTTGCAGTCCTTCCAGCGTTAAAACTGAAGCAGAGCAGCTGGAGTAAAGGCTGCTTATATGGTGTAGTCCTCTCTTTCAAAATTTTAAAAAGAGTATAAAGGAATACCTTCCCAATCTGTGAATGCCCTTTACTTTTCTGCACCTGGTGAGGTGTTTTATTGTGACTGGCCTGTCTATTGACATTGTGCTTGTCTGTTTTTTGAACAACATGGCAAAAGATATCTCTTCTTTTTTTAAATCTTAAGTCACTTTTAAAAAATGCATTCTAAGTTTAAAGTTTTGTGAACTTTCTTTTTTAATGAGTCAATATAATATGACTTCTCTAAAGAATGTTAAGCTCTTGAGCAAAATCTTAGATTAAAGGATTTTTATTTCTTTGACTGAAACGTCCAACTTTCCACTATTATGTCAACCCATTAAATCAGAACCCTTACAGCTTCAAGTTTGGTAAGTTAGAATGGTATACGTGTCTAGCGAAATTTTGGTAAACTGACGTCAACAGCTTTGTTCTCACTATACACATAGCAGTGAAAGTTTTCATCTTTTTCAGCTAATAGTTGAACTGTGGCCAAATTCTTTTTGTTTGTTTCTAGTCTCCCTATCTCTCTTGTCGACTAACCCCATCAATGTCCAACCCCATCAATGTCCAAGATTACTTTGTGTCAGGGTTGTCCTGGACTTATTCAAGTAGTAATGACAGCTACAGTCCAGCACGCACATATAGTATAATGAACATGTACACAGCCAAACAGGCATATAGCCAAACATGCTCGTAGTGAAACACATACATAGCAAAACATACGCTTAACTAACAGATTTCTAGGTCCCAAATATTTTCTTATATATGTACTGTATGACATGGATAGGTCGAACACAGAAGACTCGAAATCACGCATCCGTTGAACTGTGCCTGTAATCCCGGTTTTTTTTTCTTTATCTTTGTAAGATAACCATCTAACTACAGACTCTTCAAACTACTGAGGCCAGTCCCGACGAATTTGAGCTAACCTGTTATACTGTATATTCTTTGTATTTAGAACATGTACATACCAAACTTCGTACATATTTATAAAAAGAAAAGATTTTCGCTTCCTGTCGATTTCACTATGTGGGTGCTAGATTGTGCTTTGTTTTACATTTTCCTTAGACTCAATAAAGTATTGTCAATCAGTGGGCTCTGTTCACACTTGATCCGCATAAAGGTGGGTTTGAAGTTGGTCACATTTAATATTAATGCATTTTTTGGTTTTTGTTGGAATTCTCAGAGGAAAAGAGTGCCAGTACAGTGTCTGTTCAGGACATGGGACCAAACCTGGACCGCCTCTGGTCCTACAACTGCAACTTGACCAGGAACAAGAATGTCAGCTGCATTGCTTGGAACAAGTCTAACCTGGTAGGTACATCGTGAACTTCACATGGAACAAGTTGAACATGGAACATCCTTGACACCCTCGATCCACCTTTTGCGTGGTCTTCCTCTTCCTTTATAGCCTGAGTGCTTGGTGTTGTAGGCTCTTGAGGCTGGCTGATTAAGTGACATACGTAACAGGTGGCCAAACCATTTTATTCTCTATCTTTCTATGTAATGCAGGCAGGACTCAGTGCCAATAGCTGCTTTTACTTCTTCATTTCTCTGCCTGTCTCGGCTTGTGATGTTAAGGGTTTTGCGGAGACATTTCATTTTGCATGCAGTGATTTTGCTTTCATGGGTTTTACTTAATGTTCAGGTCTGGCACTGGTGGCATAATGTTGGTATTAATATTGAGGTGATAAGCTGTCTCTTTGTGTCCATGGAGATGTTTGGATGAGATAGGAGGGGTGCGAGCTGGTTGGTGACAGTGTTGGCATTTCTACGTCTATTTCTCTGTCTATGGACCCGTTTTCAGAAAAAATCCTGCCAAGATATTTAAACTCCTTCACCTGTCTCACTTGTTTACTATTGACATTGATGTTCAGGGGACTACAGTTTCGGCTCACTTTCGAAACTTGATTTTGATGTACTTATTTTCATGTCAAATTTCTTGCAGCTGTAGTTCAGTTTGGTAGTGGGATTTTGGAGGCTTTGTTGGTTTGGATGAATAAGACATTGGTTGTCTGCGAATAGAAGTTCAATGATGAGTAGCAAGTGACCAAAAAGAGGGTTGATCTCTGGTGTTGAGTGAAGAGAGAGCTGAGTGTATCAACTGCCAGCTCTGACTGTGTCCTTTTTCTGGATAAATCTGGAAATGTGTATTTCTAAAATTGTCCCGATTTTGTAATATATGTGTGCTAATACATTTATTTACATTTTAATTTCTTTTTGTGAGTCATTTATTGCACTTGATGTTAAAATAGTCTTAATACAAGATGCCTTAGAAGTACATGATTCATCAGTTTTGAGTCCCTGCATACATGTTTCCATGGGTTCAGAAAAGTTCAGATTTTTTTTCATGGCCAGTTGGCATCTCCGTATTATGAGAAGTTGACCAAAAGGATTACATCTGGGAGTGGATGAGGTTGAAATATAACAATGCTGCAGCGTGAGCTCGTGGAAACAAGGGATACCTAGGCCGGACACAAGGCAGAGGAAGAAACTGCTTTCAGAGAGGCTCAAATTTGTGTTCCCAATTTGTGTCTCCATGGACACAGCTTTGGTCATGTGAGAGGCCGGCTGCTTCGATCGTACCTTTCAGGGAAAACTTGGGCTGGATGGAATGCTGCACACGAGCAAACAGATGGAAACACTCGATAAGAAACTTCCCAATGTGGGAAGTGAACTCAATTCTTCTGCTTTTTTTTTTAGGAAAAAGTTTGACCACTACTCCACAGAACCGGTTTGTGGGTGGTTGGTTGGCGGGTGCTCTTGTGTGGTTTGCTCATTCTATCCTTTCAAACATCTATCATCTTTATCTCCCCTCCTTCTTTCTTGTGTTTGTTACTGTTAGTGTTTTGTAACACCTCTAATCTTCGGCACTTATATGACCTTATTGTGTTGCAAGTGCCGTAAAACACTTACTTTTAAAAAAAAAGAAGCAGGTTTGGAGGCACTGCCAGGAAGACTACAGCCCGACAGGGGCAAGCTGCACAGAGGCTAGCTGTCGATGAATCTGTATTGTTTCTGAGAATGTACAAAGTTTAGCTGGAGCACTTATAAAATGACACCTACTGAGAATTAATTCCCTTATTTTATTCAATATTTGTGTTTCAGTTCGCAAATAATTTTCAAGTGGAGAGATATACAGACTATGTTTAGAAACTTACTTGAGAATATTCAGAACTCATATGTTATTTTTTAACATTAGTTGGTATGTATTCCTGTTTATCAAAATTATTTTGTAAGGAATAAAACAGCTGCAAAAGTTGATATTGTATGTATTTTTTCTGCTTCTCTTTTCACAGGATCTTGTGGCAGTCGGCTATGGTCAATTTGAGTTCACCAAGCAAAAGCCTGGAATTGTTTGCTGCTGGTGTATAAAAAATCCAGAGGTACTGAAAATGTTTGACTTTTATACAGAAAAGCTACATATGCCTTCTTATAGGCGAATAACTTTAGCTGTGCATTGCACTATGAGGGTAAAAAAATTGCAACAGAAATGATTTTGGTGTCATTAGAACCAAAAATCCTTCCTCTATAACATACTGAAAAGCGGCTTGAATCAGGTGAGAGGATATTTGTTTAAATTGCCATTTAATGGTATAGTATCAAAATAGTCAAATATAGATACCAAAACATAACAGAATCGCATGCAATATCTCACAACACACCAATCTTACACCACTGCACAGGGGTCTGTTCCTTAAAACTTGATTTTCTAATCTGAAATGGAGGACTTTGAGTCCTAAAACCTCAGAATTTTAATGGTGAGCCAAAAAAGTTTGAGTAGTAATGTACATGGAGTAATCGATACTAGTAACTACCCTTATCTTTCTTCCACGATTATATAGTTGGTTTAAGTATTGTAAGCATAAGGTACTTATTCCATCGACGTATGACTGGCAGTGCTTACGAAAAGTCCATATTTGGATTTGTTGGGTGGTAGCAATCACAAAAAAATTCGAGAAAAAAACGTCCAGATGATCCTAAAAGAAAAATCAAGCTCTAGTTTACCAATTTGATTCCCTTCTTTAATCATTACACAAGCTGATTGGTCAACCAGCTGTACATGTCTACTAAGCCCAACATTTTAATTTTTTTTCCTTTTTTGGTGCTGCAGAGAAATATTTTGGTTAAATTCAAATTCTGAATGTTGAAAAAAGATATCTAATTTAGGTATAATTTTTAAAGAATGGAACTGTATGGAACTGTTTTTTTCTTTCCTGAAAAATTTTGCTTTCTGGACTTACGACATTTGAACAGCTTGCTGATTAGGCCTAATATTTTGTCTCTTTGCTGTATATATATATATAC